AGTAAACACCACTCACAGCAGTAAATCTGCTCAAACATGCGAACGGGCAGCCATATTTCTGTTTCACGCATATATCTGTTATTTTAATGGTACTAAGTAAGCATGAGAGGCATAAAGGGTGATTATGAGCCCCCCCATCATCCCCCCAGACTTAAAAGCATCTGCTCATCCCAACATGAGTTCAGATAATCATAATTACACTGTAATTTACAGCGTATTATCAGCAGCTTCTCCTCCTCAGCAATAATCCATTGTTTAAAAATAGCAGCAGGTCTGAAAAATGAAGGTAAAGTCATGTGAAAACAGCGCTGCACGCTCTGCCATCCACAGCCAGTTATTTAATTTCCCACCCGTTTTCAGGCACACCACGCCCCTAATAGTTTTACAGCTTAAATGCGGACAGACTTTCAGCGGTGGGGGTTTAGGTGATCAGAGACGCTGTGAAGAATCGTGTGCGCTTAAGTGCGATTTGGGAGGAGGTTACATGTTTCGTGTGTGTTTATCAGCGAGCAGACACTGTAACAGGGCGGTTTTACTGCTGCACTATTGGGCACTTTTCTGTGTCTGTTCTTTAAAGGGCCAATATCCTGCTTTTTAAATGTTCTTTATTTTTCCTCTGACGTCCGGTTATAACATTTTATAGTTTTATGCACACAAACAGTGATAATGTATTATTACAGGAGCATTTTCAAACCTTTCTTTATCCCTTAGAATTAAACAGAGGCTATGCTAATGAAGGGCGGGGTTAATGTAAATTTACCACAGGTCGTCTAATGTTATGACTGATTCTTACTTCTGAGATATGCAATCTCAGAGTAATGTAGAAGGTTCAACTCATTGAGCTGTTGCTGTGAAATCCCAGGTGGTTGCTAGAGAATCGCTATATTATCCCAGGTGGTTGCTAAAATGGGGCCGTGGCTATATCCCAGGTGGTTGCTAAGGTGTTGCTGGGTCCTTGCTATTGTATTGCAGATGGTTACAAAGGTGTTGCTGGGTCCTTGCTATGAGATCCAAGGTAGTTGCTAATGTGTTGCTGGGCCATTGGTATGGGATCCCAGGGGGTTGTTAAGTTGTTGCTGAACACTTGCTATAGTATCCCAGGTGATTGGTAAGGTGTTGCCATGCTCTTGCTATGGTATCTCTAGTGCTTGCTAAGATGTTGTGAGGCGCTTGCTATTGTATCCCAGGTGGTTGCTAAGGTGTTGCTGGGCCCCTGTGATGATGTCCCAGGTGATTGCTAAAGTGTAGCTGACCATTGCCATGACATCCCAGGTGGTTGCCAAGTTGTTGCCAGACACTTGCTATTGCATCCCAGGTAGTTGCCATTGTGTCCCAGGTGGTTTGGTGAGGTATGTCTGGGCCCTTGATGTGGTATTCCAGGTGGTTGCTAAGGTGTTGCCGGGCCCTTGCTATGGTATCCTAGGTGGTTGCTAAGACGTCTCCTTTGCTAAGGGATCCCAGGTGGTTACAACAAACAATAAAAAACAACTTTTTTCTGTCATTTTACATGTTTTGATTTTTGAAGTTGTACACTTGAAGTAAGACAGTATTTATCGGCTTTGTGTGGACCACAGAGAACACAAGTAAATCTTTACGGTCAGAACAAAAGTTTGTATCTTCCTTTTCCCATTTTTTATATAATTAAAAAAAAGCCACACAGTATGGCAAAATGATATTTTACATTTTCTGTGTCAAAATCACAAAACAACATTAACTTAAGATGAAAGCAAGAAATGTTTTTTGCTTTAAAGAGGTTTTGTGCTTTTTGAGTGTGCTGAAAACTGGTATCATCACATTTTTAACACCATGTCAGTCATGTCTGTGTGTTAGGGCAGGGTTGGAAACTGGGAAATGCAAATTTTCTTGTAAATTGCATTCACAAAGCTACCAAAGTGAGAATCTCAGGATTCTACATGATACCTTACTTTACCAGGTGTGACGTATACTTTGACCTTTCATCGCTTTCGTTGGTGAAAAACAATGCTCTTGAGAGTGACTGTGAACATGTATACCTGATGTGGTTCTATGTGTGCTTTTTAATACGCTCTCTATCTCTGCGTGGTGGGTGTGTCTTTATGCAAACACCAGAAGAGTGAAGTTGTATTTACTATGTTCACATATAGTTGTATGCGAGAGTTGTTTGTTATTGTTGACACATTCTCTACAGAGAACACACTCCTGCACATTTCAATACACAGTACTGTTTGCTATTTGCTGAATTTAACATACAGAGGAAAAAATACACATAAAATATAGCCTGTGTAGAAGTTATGGCACTATTTGTGTTTCATTTTTATTTTTTTTTCATTACCTTAACCTCAGAAAATAAACAGAAACTGTGCTCTTTAATTTGGAGAAAAAGAGAAACACATCCCTGTAGAAACATGCAAATAGGTGTTCAAACATTTGCAAATGATTGTATTATACAGTTCAGGCACCTATAAAAAAAAAATGATGCCGTGCAGCTGCAGTCGGAAAATATCAGTTCCATTTTCATTTCCCCGCTGAATTCCTGCACCGAGAGGTTCTTTGTTTGTTTTTGTGTTTATGGTAAATAAATACTTTGGGCAGTTTTGTTACTGTGGCAAGCTGTTTCCTTCCTGGTGAGTTTTTGTTGTTTTAGAGCTGTGCTGCAGCAATTTGTTTTTGTGAACAATGATGAAAAACTGAATGTGGTGGAACAAAGCTCCCCAGTCCTGCTCCCAACACACCTGATACAACTAATGAACTAATTAACAAGCTCTTCCTGAGGTGAACTGGGTCTGTTGGGGGGTGGGGACTCCATGACATGCTGGGCAGCGCTTCTCCAGGACCAGGAAAGGACTGAGAACAGCTGTGGTGGAAGAAACGGATCTGACTGATCCCCGCTTTACATTTTATAGAAGGTTTGGAAGAGTTTCCAAGTTGGAAAATGATCATGTGACCAAGTCCTGTATACTAGGTAAAGCTAACGTTAATTCGCACTGAAGTAGTCATGGCAACAGGTCTATTTATCGTACCATATATACCACTACTAAGGTCTGAGGGAAATATCAAGAATATTAGCCAGTGATGTGAAAATAATGTCAGGCCTAGTTGTAGGTAGCTAAGCATAACAGACTAGCAATTTTTTCATACTTGTTTACTGCTGTGCATACACTGCCAAAAATGATATTTTGCCACGTTAAATCATCTTAAATTTAGTCAAGATATCTAATATTTTTCATTGTAAGGTAACTTGTGAGAAATTTTATGTGACTGTCTAACTTATTTGCAGATTTTGTCATTTTATCTAAAGAAGGCTTATGACAATGTCAGATACTTCAACATCAATTAACTAGATAAAAATAAACATCAAAAACGTCTAGAAATAAGCTGTTTTATTTTTACACTATACTTACAGCAATCTCATAAAGAGAAATATTGACCTGACTAGATTTAAGATGATTTTCCATGTCAAGATATTTTTTGCAGTTAATCACTGCATGTAGGCTGGCAGTTAAAAACATTTACACAGTAATATATAGAAACTAACATTATTCAGGCATATTTGCAAACTTCTCAACTTCATGGAAGTGCTAGTCTGTCACCATCGTATTCCAATTCTTGCCCCAGGCCCTAAAATCCAGCTCCAGGGCTTCACTTTGATGATGTGGAGAAGTTGAAGATGTGTAGGTTTTATTCTAGTGGCTATCGCTGTCCTGTGTTTAAACTAGTGTAGTGACTAGTGTAAACTGCCAGAGAACTCTGCTCACAGATACAAACTAAATATAATTTAATGCGCCTGGTACATTAGCAGGAGGGGCATTACTGAACAATCCCAGTGCAGGACGTGGAGCACTATTAACCAGTCCCAGTGCAGGAGGTGGAACACTATTAATCAGACCCAGTGCAGGAGGTGAAGCACTATTAATCAGACCCAGTGCAGGAGGTGGAGCACTATTAACCAGTCCCAGTGCAGGAGGTGGAACACTATTAATCAGACCCAGTGCAGGAGGTGGAGCACTATTAACCAGTCCCAGTGCAGGAGGTGGAACACTATTAATCAGACCCAGTGCAGGAGGTGGAGCACTATTAACCAGTACAGGCGGTGGAGCACTATTAACCAGTACAGGCGGTGGAGCACTATTAACCAGTACAGACGGTGGAGCACTATTAACCAGCCCCAAAGCAGGAGGTGGAGCACTATTAATCAGACTCAGTGCAGGAGGTGGAGCACTTTTAACCAGACTCAGTGCAGGAGGTGGAGCACTTTTAACCAGACTCAGTGCAGGAGGTGGAGCACTATTAACCAGCCCCAGTGCAGGAGGTGGAGCACTATTAACCAGACTCAGTGCAGGAGGTGGAGCACTTTTAACCAGACTCAGTGCTCAGTACTATTAACCAATCCCAGTACATAAGGCAGGGCGTCACTAACCAATCCCTGCATAGGAGGTGTGGCATTACTAACCAATCCCAGCACATAAGGCAGGGCACTATTAGCCCATCCCAGCACAGAGGGTGGAACACTATATACCAATCCCAGCATAGGAGGCGGGGTTATTATTAGCCAGTCCCAGCACAGGAGCACTACTAACCAATCCCAGCACAGGAGCACTATTACCCAATCCCAGCACAGGAGATGGGGCACTGTTAGCCGATCCCAGTGCAGGAGACGGGAAAATAGCAGCCAGTGCCAGAGGAGGACATGAGACAGTACTAACCAATCCCAGCGCAAAAGGCGGGGTTTGTCGGAAAACTGGTGGGAAAAAAAGAAGCCCACGCTGTGCGGTAGCTTAGCTTCAGCGGTGTGATGTCCCGCCTATAGTGCGCAGGATCCGCAGACTTGTGAACAGAAGTAATCGGATTTACTTTTGTTTCGAAATATCAGGCCACGCCGATTTTTCCTCTTTATCAGGAAGCGTTTTCTTTCCACGGTGACGGACTGGTTTCAAGTTGACAGTCGGTCAGAAATGCGCAGAGATGAGAAATGAGCGAGCGGCACAGAGAGAGAAAGAGAGAGAGAGAGAGAGAGAGAGAGCGAGAGCGCTCAGGTCCTCTGCAGGCAGATTACTGAGTGCTGTGAGGGAGAGAAATTCTAAGTGATCGATGCGTAACGTGCGCGGCGTTTCGCTGTGTCGCGGGGCTCTGGAAGAGTGTTTTTATTTGCAGCTGGGACGCACCTTTCGCCATGGATCGAGTTTTTACGCGTGGAAATATGAGAAAACGCCACGGGTTAACGGAGGGATAAACTGAGCAGATCGACGAGGAGCCGTCATGGTTGCACAGCCCGGATCAAAGGTAAGCAGACATGCTCGCTGTTTTATAGTTGTATCTGTTTTTTGCAGATTGGCTTCTTTTTCGAATTTTGCCGTTTCACCTTAAATGGTGCAGCAGTTTCATTGAAACTGCTGAACCATTTAAGGTGGAACGGCAAAGTCGAAAAAGAAGCTGGCGAACTTCAGCTTTGTAAGTGATTCTTATAATTCTTAAGAGGGCAAAAAACAGCAACATAACCAACTTTTCACCTACAAATACAGTTCATGCACTGTCCATGTTGTTTGTGCTGTTTCGCATGCAGTGACAGGAAACTTCATTCTGCTCTCGGGTTTTAAATGTCAGTAAAGTTGTTTCATCATATTCGCAGTAAATTGTTGCAAATTCTGTGTAAGCAATGAGCCAGTGGCCAGTTGGACTCAGTTAACTGGTACCAGTGGCTCTGTAACTGAGTTCAGCGCTGCTGCTCCTTCCCTAGAGGTGCTGCTCTAACACTGAATTGCTTTTATTGCGTTACTGGAGCAGCTGACCTCCTTCTAACCGCGTTGCCTTGGTCGCTTTTTTGGCTCTGCTGTTCTCTGCAGCGGCTCATGGAACCACAAAACTGTGACACCTGTGCAGGTGGGCTTGAGGAGCAACAGCTCGATCAATACATCCAATCAAATGGACACACACAGTATCTGCTCTGCTGCGCAAAGAAGTCTTAAGGTAAAGCTTTGGCCTAAATGCTCACCACTAACCACAGTTGAACCACACCTTGAAGAGGAACTCGCACCAATTTTTTCTGCATAAGTCAGTGGTTGACATGTAACGAGAGTCATTCAGAGTGGTTTGGTTTGAAATGGTTGATTGTAGAGACTCTGATTAGGTGCTAAGAACCAGGGGTGACCATGACTACAACATAAATATACCATTTCATTTACTATGCAAAACCACCAGTGAACCTACACGTGGTGTCTGAGCTTTTATATATAATGTTGGTGATAAAATGTTGGAAAAACTGAAACAATATGTCTTCTTTGGGGACTATTTTGCTGCACAATGTCCTCCATGTGCCCCTCCACCATGAATGGATTAAAAAACAAACTCAGCAAATCGTAAAACAGTGTCTCAGGCACCAGGCAGTGTTTTTATAACATGCTTTATAACATATAACTTGCTGTGAGGGAGCTTTTAGAGGTGGACGTCTGGTTCCTATCACCACCACAGTGAACAGTTCTGACTCAGTAAGTTTCTCTAGAACGGAGCATTTACACCAAACCACTCTGAATGACTCTGTTTACATCTTAACCAATTAATTATGTGGAAATTTAGTAAATAAACAAAAAAAAGGACTGTACAATGAAGAAAGACACTATATAGCTGAAAGCATCCAGACAGCCCTTCTAATCAGTGAATTCGGGTGCTCTAAGGTCACTCGTTGCTGACAAACCGGTAACAACGTTGGCCAATAAAATGGGATGCTCTGGAGCCGAGCCTGGCATGCTCAATGCCAAGTGTGGGCTAGAGGGGTATAAAGCCCCCCAGCATTGGGCTGTGGAGCAGTGGAACTCCGTTCTCTAGAGTGATGGAGCTCCATCCAATACCTTTGGGATGAATTGGAGTGATCCAGAACTGACCATCCAACATAAGTATCTGACCTCACTAAAGCTCAATCAAATCTTCACAGCAATGTTCCAACTTCTAGTGTAAAGCTTTCCCAGAAGATTAGAAGCTGTTACTGCCGCAAAGGGGGACAAACTCACTGTTAAAACTCCTTCATTTCAGAAGAAACTCTGCTGTCCACAAACTTTTGGACATATAGTGATGTACATCATGCTAGATACTTGTCATGTACATTTTCAGCCTCTCACTCGCTCTCTTGGGAGAAACTCCAGTGCTAAATCTGTGCATTACAAGGATAATGCTCAGACTATCAAGCCAAGTGCCTACTTCTGATCAGTTTAGCATGATTTGGGTCAGTTTGATTGGTTAGTAAATGCACTATGTTTGGCTTATGCTTTGTAATTTAATGCTTTGGTCACACAAATGCACTCTTACCTCCAAGGATCTACTAGAAGTTTTACATCAGAACGGAATAGTTTGTCGTTTAGCAGAGCAGGCCATTTAGGCTGGTTAGCAATTGCTGGCTACCCATGTTGTTTGGTTGTTAGCACACAGCAGTGTCTCCTGGGTTTAAGGTTGTGATATAGAAGGAATCCATGTCTAGACTTTCTTAATGCACAGAAAACATGTAATGTTTTTTCAGTTAATGACTTGATTTTTTCATTTTAGTGAGACTTTGCATTCATGATCATAAGCCTGAAACAGCTAAATTGCATTGACAAACTTAATTTTTCAGTCTATAGAAGGCAAATAAATATGTTTTGTCACAAAATGAGTGTATTTTGAATCAAACCATACATCACCACTGGTGCAGAAATGCACATTTGTATGCTGTATTCAGTTACCATGAATGTTGCATGCAAGAAGCGAACCCCAGTGGTGAATGTTGCCATGATTGCAGGAAGAGAAATGTAATGGTTTAATCAGTGTGATCAGAGAGGATCTCATTAGTGCAAAGATGCTGTGCAGAAAAGCTTCAGGAATGGTGCACTGCTCGAGTTCTAGATAGAGTGGTGCACTCCTACACAGCTTAGCACTTCCCTGTTTTAACAGCTCATAAAAGGCCTGATCATGAGTTGATGAGTTCAATTACGTGTTTTAGTGCAGAGAAAACATTTGTCTATGCAGAGCTGTGTACCTATAAGTCTTTGTTGTGTATCTGTCTCATAAAGCAGAATTTCTTCCTAAGCCAGTTCACTTTAAGCTTTTAAGAACTTTTAAGTTCAGTCTAACCTGTATTTTCTGTCTCACGACGGTGGATCACATTTTACTGGGATACATTACCATGGCAACTTGCTGCACCAAATCTGCTCCAGGGCAGATTAAGTTTGAGATTTTGGATCATGAATAGCTCTTGGTCCAATCAGGGATGGGCTTCTGACCTGTCTGGGCTGAGCTTCTGAAGGAATAAGGGCTGAGCTTCAGACCTATCAGGGCAGAACTTCTGACCCATCAGGGCAGAGCTTTTGAACCATCGGTTCAGAGCTTCTGACCCATCAGGGCTGAGCTTCTGACCCCTCATGGCAGAGCTTATGACCCATCAGGGCAGAGCTTCTGAACCATCTGGGCAGAGCTTCTGACCCATCGGGGCAGAGCTTCTGACCAATCAAGGACAGCCTCCAGACCAATCCTCTTCATTTTTCATTTGGTTGGCTCAGGAACGCTGTCTTAGTTGAACATGCTTTGTAGGACAGACTGCACGTCTACAGCCATACACCTGTTAGACTGTATTGTCTGTTTACACCTCTAGTTTTGTGATATGGACAAACTCTGTGTTTATATGTTTAAATAACTGTGCCACATGGGTACTTTGCATAACTGCTTGATTTTCACAGTCTGCTGCCTGTCTTGGTCACTGCCTGTTTGCTCGTTTCTGATAAATTCCTGAAAATGGTCTACAGGTTCATGGAGCAATGGTAGGTTGGGTAGATGCAGAATATCTTCAGATTGTAAAGGACATATTGTGAAGTTTCATGCTTATAAAGTCTAATGCATCATGATTTAAATGCATTCTGTACCTGTTCCAGGCTGGAAAACCAGATACTGGATCAGAATGACTTTACTGTCCAAGTGCTCTGGCAAATACTAGTCATTTGTCTTGGTTGAGGTGATGCATCCATAGGTTGGCAAATCAGACAAATACAGACAAATAATACAAATAAATACAACAGTACAACCACAGAATGCATTACAACATATAGAGCATGTTAAGTATGTACAGCAGTGTACACTACACACTGTTTAAGTGTTTTAAGTAAAGAAACCATGAGTTCTAAATGTCAGAACAAAACCTTGTATCTCAATTCGTGTGTGTGTGTGTGTGTGTGTGTGTGTGTGTGTGTGTGTGTGTGTAAATTTCATGATGAATGGACCAAAGGAAATGGCCCAGGGAAAAAAGTCTGGTTCCATTGACTTACATCAAAGGCAAAGTATGTTTTTTCCTTCTCCTCTAAAGTTATCATTTTGGAGATATGAGGTTTTGTTACCTTAAAACAGCAAGGGCCATTTAGTAAAGCCAGTGGTTCTATTTACAGCCATGATTTCTATATAGAACCATTTCATGCTTTAATGGTTCTTTGAAGATAGAAATTGTTCTGCAGATTGTTGGAGAATGTGTTATATAGTTCTGTATAGCACCTTTTTAAAAATGCTTCTACATAGCACCAAAATGGGTTCTTCTATTGTTGCAAGCTTGACATCATAACAACAACAGAACCCATTTTGGTGGTATATAGAACCATATACAACACATTCCTGTGCGTGACGATTTCCTAAACTGTGGGCAGGAATTTGATGAACCATACTGAGTGACCTTAACGGTGAGAATTCTGTGCATCACTGTGGCAAAAGGACCTTCCTGGTGGCGGATATTTCCCAGTGTGCAGCAAAACTCATTGAGTCAGCTGTCGGAGAGTATCATGGGACCAGTCTTCTGGACAGACTTTGTTTGTGATGTTGGGTCTACTGTATTTCCTCACTTTTTCAAGTTGGAAAAGACAAAAAATAATCACGTCACCTTTAAAAATTGATATTAAAATATTTCACATACTGCACTGCACTCCAGTCATACTTATTCTGCTTTCTTTGTAACTAAACATGCCATTGGTCAATATTTCCTTTCTTATACAGTGTTCTCTATACCCAGAAAACCATGTTGTTGCATAATGTGACATATTTTGGTCCTATGTTCATATTGCCCACCCCATGTAGTAGTTTCTTATCCCAGCTTGTAAAGCTAGCTAGCCACTGGTACTAAACTGGACTAACTAACTTTAAACAGCAATAGCCATTTCAAATAGGGGCAACTTTGCTAATATTAGCTGGCTAGATATTAGTCACTGGTACAAGTATACATTGGCTAATTCAGGTAGTAACACTACTCACAACCTTTAATATAAACGTATTAGATAGCTAGGTAT